TGAATGTGCCCTGGAGCATCTTCTGGACTGAAATCTAGAACATCTTCTGGCCAGAGACCTCGCCAGATGCTACTCCTATCATTGGGTGTGATTTGGATTATCGCCACCATCTGTCACTTTTACTTGTAAACTGTTGCTGTTTTAACTTGGTACTGTATTTATTAATCGTTTTAACTCTGTATTTACATTATTTTAACTCTGTTAGCCGCCTTGAGCCAGCATGCCCGGCAAGGCGGGATACAAATAGAAACAATAAATAAATAAATAAATAAATAAATAAATAAATAGGGGTGGTCGTGCTTGGGGGCGGGGCTTCCCCTGGCGGCCAGCTGGCCAGGGCGGATTGAAGCCCCCAGAAGTGGGGGAGCCCCTGCCCGGATCTAGGGGCTAGCCCCCTAATCCAGTACAAGGGAGAGAGAAAGGCAAGCCTTTGCGCTCTGTGCTACCTTAAAGGGTGTATCTTAGGTTTTACCTTTTGAGAGGGAAAAGAAAATGGGAGCTGAAAATAGGAAACTCAAGCAGTGCACGAAAAGAAAGTGTTTTTTATTTGGAAAACATGTAGATTTGCTTTTTATTAACATTAGGTGAGACAAAAAAAATCATAACAAAAAAGGGTAAAAGCAGATATTGATCACGATCTTTATTTGTCCAATGGTATTTGTTTGCTAATGATCTTTCGCTTCCCCGGCCGCCCTGCCGGGAGCCGCACAGTATGTGTGAAAGAGCCGCAGGTGGCTCCTGAGCCACGCTTTGCCCACCCCTGGCCTAGGCTGTCTCATGCAGTCACAAGAGGACGAGCAGCATTTTTGGAGATTCGCCGTTCGTAACACTGGCAAGCCTTGAACTCTCAAAAGAGGAAACGTTTCATAACGTTTTCCAGTGTTTCCCCCAGATTTCTAGTTTTCCTGTTGGAGAAAAAGTCCTTGGGGGGGAAAGAAAACAAGAAATTGGCTCTCCCCCCCCCCCCCCCTTTTTTTCCCCCCCCCCCAGTTTTTTCACTCATGATGGACTGGGATGAGCTACCCAGCCTGACCACACCTCCTCGCCTCTGCCCACAGCTGTTCTGGCACTCCAGCGCCCACGTCCTGGGAGGGGCTGCCGAGCACTTCTACGGGGCACTCCTCTGCCACGGGCCCAGCACCGAGAACGGCTTTTTTTACGACATGTACTTGGATGAGCAAAGGTACCACCAGGTGTGGGGTGGGGTGGGGACGGGAAACGGGACTGGCTGGGGCGCGTGCAAACACTGTTTCTTGGGCACCTTGGGAGCTCTGTCTGTTTAGCATCCCCATCACCTCTTTTTAGAAGTCTGCTGGAGTTTTCCTCTCCCCTTTGTCAGTCTTGGTGTAGTGGTTAAGAGCGGTGGACTGTAATCTGGGAGAACCGGGTTTGATTCCCCATTCCTCCACATGCAGCTGCTGGATGACCTTGAGTCTGTCACAAGTTCTCTCAGATCTGTTCTCTCAAGAGCAGTTTTCGAATGAGCTCTCTCAGCCCCACCGACCTTCAAAGGGTGTCTGTTGTGGGGAGGGGAAGGGAAAGGAGATTTGTAAGCCGCTCTGAGACTCCAAGTGAAGGGCGGGGTATAAATCCAATCTCCTCCTCCTCTTCTTCTTCTTCATCATACTTTTCTTAATGTAACTGAGCTGATGAATCACGGGGGTACAGGTGGAACCACCAGGGAGAGGATAAAATTTACGAGTGAAAAATAAACAAAATCCAACTTCAACATCTCTTCTTTTTCTTGTTGTTTTTTCTAAATCACCCCAGATTTAAAGAGCCAGAGTCCAGTGGCACCTTAAAGCTCCTCCCCTGCCACAAATTTTGTGAGTCTTTCTACTGCTACAGACAGACTGACATGGCTATAGAGCCAGTTTGGTGCAGTGGTTAAGTGCGCGGACTCTAATCTGGGAAGAGGAACTGGCTGGGAAAGGGAAGACCGATCAGGGAGGGGAGGCCAGGAGCCACACAATATGTGTGAATGAGCCGCTTGTGGCTCCTGAGCTGCAGTTTGGCCACCCCTGATCTAGGCTGGTCCTGCATTGAGCAGGGGGTTGGACTAGATGACCTCTAGGGACCCTTCCAACTCTGTGATTCTAAGCTCCACCCCTGAAACCTCCAAGAATTCCCCAACCCAGAACTGGCAACCGTGCCACTTGGGCCTCTTGCCCCTTTTCCTGCCGCAGCAGAACCGAAATCGTTGCTCAGGATAAGCAGGTGTGCCCTGAGCACAGAGCCCGATGTTATCTCCTCAGTGTCCACTAGAGGTCCTTGCCGGTTCTGAGGTGGGTCCTGCCTCCTGGCCTGGCTGGTGGGGACGTCAAGCAAGGAGCCTGACCAAAACCCTTTTTGATTTCCCTCAGAATTCCTCGTGTTTCAGCCCCCTATTTAGTGACGCTTCACCTGAGGCAGAACTGGAACTGGAGGCCGCACTAGAAATCCTTCAGTTACAAGTTATAACTTTTAACCTACTTGAGAGGAGGAGGAGAAGAGATTGGCTTTATACCCTGCCCCTCACTACCCAGAGGAGAGCCCCTCACTATCCAGAGGAGAGCGGCTTACAAACTCCTTTCCCTTCCCACAACAGGCACCCTGTGAGGTAGGTGGGACTGAGAGAGCTCTCTCAAGAACTGCCCTTGAGAGAACAGCTCTGAGAGAACTACGGCTTGCCCAAGGTCATCCAGCAGCTGCAAGTGGAGGAGGAGTGGGGAATCAAACCCGGTTCTCCCAGATTAGAGACTTAACCGACTACACCAAACTGGAGTAAAGAAAATGATCCAAAGTGCTTTCTTCTTTTTTCCCATTTGGCTCTGCTCAGCAGAGAAAGAAATTCCTTAGTAGGCCCAGCCAGAGAGTTGAGTGAGCAGAAGTTTCTCCGGGTCTGTGCCCTTGGCCCTGAGTCCCGGATTTTGTTAAGAAAGTTGGGCCTTCCTTTGCAGGACTGTGCAGGGGAAAGACCTGCCGGTGTTGGAGGAGATCTGCAAGGGCATCATTGAAGAGAAGCATCCTTTTGAGAGGCTCGAGGTGTCCCGGGAGGACCTGAAGGAGCTCTTCAAGGTGAAAACCCATGGATCGCGGCAGTCCATCTTTCTTTCTTTCTTTCTTTCTCTCTCTCTCTCTCTCTCTCTCTCTCTCTCTCTCTCTCTCTCTCTCTCTCTCTCTCTCTCTCTCTCTCTCTCTCTCTCTCTCTCTCTCTCTCTCTCTCTCTCTCTCTCTCTCTCTCTCTCTCTCTCTCTCTCTCTCTCTCTCTCTCTCTCTCTCTCTCTCTCTCTCTCTCTCTCTCTCTCTCTCTCTCTCTCTCTCTCTCTCTCTCTCTCTCTCTCTCTCTCTCTCTCTCTCTCTCTCTCTCTCTCTCTCTCTCTCTCTCTCTCTCTCTCTCTCTCTCTCTCTCTCTCTCTCTCTCTCTCTCTCTCTCTCTCTCTCTCTCTCTCTCTCTCTCTCTCTCTCTCTCTCTCTCTCTTTCTCTCTCTCTCTTCCTTCCTTCCTTCCTTGCTTCCTTGCTTCCTTTCGGATTTGTATTCCGCCCTCCCTGCAAGCTGGCTCAGAACATCATAAAAAGATAAAAACATACACTGATATAACAGTATTTAAAACAACTAGGTAATAAATTCAAAGCAGGTGTGTATACACACACACACCGTTTCAGCTGGAGTGGTTGGGTCTAACAGCATGTGCTACTTTCCTACTCCACCGCAGGCATCGCTAGAAGAGATTGCCAGGTTTTATTATATATGGTGCGTGTCTATAAATACACGTGCACGTGGGGAGGGGGAGAGAAAGAGCACAGATCGATGGGTTTTGAAAATCCACCTTTACAAAATGGAGACCGGCTGGGTGGTGGAAAGTGTCGTCGGATAGCTGCCGATTCACGACAGTCCTGTGGGGTTTGCGAGGCAGGAGACGAGCGGAGGTGCTTTGCTAGCTGCCTGCCTCTGCGTAGCCACCCTGGACTTCCCCGATGGTCTCCCATCCAAGGACCGACCCAGGGCCCACCCAGGGCTTTGCTTCTGAGCTCTGTTGAGCTTGGCCTCGTCTGGGTCGTCCAAGTCAGGGCAAGAGATATTCGGAGGTGGTTTTTCATTGCCTGCCTCCGTGTCGCAACCCCGGGCTTCCTCGCTTTCTCCCAGCCAGGGCTGTTTCTGGGCAGGAACAGAGTTCCGGCTGGCTTCAGAGTTGGCCACGCCCACGACAGCCAAAACCTCTCCGTGCACGGCTACGGAGAGAAGGGCTGGAGAGCAGGAAAAAACACCCACCCTCTGAGGCGGGTCGGCCAGTGGGAGCCCTGGAAGGATCGGGGAGGCATTGTTGTAGACCAGGGGTCCTCAAACTTTTTAAACAGGGGGCCAGTTCACTGTCCCTCAGACCATTGGAGGGCCGGGGGTGGGGGCCGGGGGGGTGGAACTAGCCGACCATCCTGCCCCCCCCCCACAAAGCCACGTGGCGCGGAACTGAGAAGAGGACCACATCATGTGCTGATTGACTTGAGCCCTGATTGACTTGGGCCCTGAGTGTGGTGCACATTCCACACATGCGCACTGCGGGCCCAGGACGAGTCGGCTGCTAAGTAGGACAGGCGGCGGCAGCAAAAACACCCGGCGGGCCGAATAAATGTTTTCGGTGGGCCGCATGTGGCCCACGGGCCGTAGTTTGAGGACCCCTGTAGAGATACCACTGGTATGGTCTGATCCAGCAGAGCTCCTCTTGTGTTCTTATCCCATGTGATTTCCTGTATAAAAGGATTCCCAGTGTGGGATGGAGCCAGGGAAAAGCAGAACTCTAAGATCTGATCCTGCATGGACAGTAAGCCTTCCTAGTCATGCTGCTACACATCTAGGGGTGGGAGTTCTCTGTTCAAATATTAGCCATTCACATTTTGGTCTTACAAGTCCCAATTGATTTAGGTGCATGAGGGTTAGAGCAGCTTTTGTTCCTTCTGTTAACGTTAAGAAACATAAAACAAAAGAGGATGGGATTAGCAATGTGGCTTCTGAATTATTAAAGGCAAACAGTACAATTAAGACTGCCAAAGAGCTCTAGGGGAATGAATCCTCCTCCAGCCTTTTCTGCTGATAGTACTGCAACATTAGCTGGGAGTGGGAGAAGCAGCCCCAAAACACTGGCTGGCCTTTGTGAGTAAGTGGACCACTTGGCCCATGGGCTGGTATAAAATCCTTTAGAGCTGGAACCTGAGAATTGCTTATTGTACTGCTCATTGTTCAGAAAAAGAACTACAGAATCATGAACTTTGTACCTATTATGTTGTCTGCTAACAATATCAGACCTACAAGAGGAAAGCCTTCTATATAACAGGCCTTTCTAACATCCTAATAAAATATTACTGAAAGAACAAATCTATAGAAACCAGAGAAATATGAATAATCAAAACAGGGGGAAATCTATATAGTCCCATCTCTACTACAGCATTTAAATGCCTCCCCGTGCCTTACCCGGCATGCCCACTTGCGCCAAGCCAAGGGAAGGCAGTTTAAACTGGCTTCCCTCCCCTCCAAGGGCCGACTTGTCCGGGCTCTCCGCAGCCGCAGGCCCCCAGCCAAGCCAAGGGAAGGCAGTTTAAACTGGCTTCCCTCCCCTCCAAGGGCCGACTTGTCCGGGCTCTCCGCAGCCGCAGGCCCCCAGCCAAGCCAAGGGAAGGCAGTTTAAACTGCCTTCCCTTCCCTTCAAGGGGGGGCTTGCCCAGGTTCCCCGCAGCTGCGGGGTGCCCGGGCAACCCAAGGGAAGGCATGGGGGTGTGGCCTAACATGCTAATGATCTGCGCTGTCATGGGGTGTGGCCTAACATGCTAGTGATCTGTGCTGTCACGGGGTGTGGCCTAATATGCCAATGAGTTTCTGCTGTTGGGTGTGGCCTATTATGCTAATGAGTTCCTGCTGGGCTTCTTCTACAAAAAAAGGCCCTGCTCCCATCCAAATACTAACCAGCGCTGACAGTGCTCCCTCTAAGCTGTGGAGTCTTGTGAGCAAGAATTCTGCTTTGTGAGCTACCGGCATTAAAGTCGTCAGCGAGCGATTGGGCTACTGCATGGATTGGTTCACCTTGGAGCCACCCTTCCTGAGCTGAGACAAAAATGTGTGAGCCGGAGGCTAAAGAACTTTGAACTAGCTCACACTAACTCAGCTTAGAGGGAACACTGGCGCTGACCCTGCTCAGCTTCCGAGATCAAGCTAGCTATCTTTCTTGATTTCATTTATTTTATGTTATTGACAGCCCACCTTTTTCACTTGGACTCAGGGCGGGTTACGCAGAATGAGTCAAGACAATCAATGAGATGGGACATTCAGTAAACCATGCAGAAGAGATTGGATTCATACCCCATGGCCCTTCACTGCCCAAAGGAGTCTCAGAGTGGCTCACAAACTCCTTTCCCTCCCCCTCCCCACAACAGAACACCCCGTGAGGTAGAAGAAGAAGAGATTGGATTTATACCCTGCCCTTCACTGCCCAAAGGAGTCTTAGAGCGGCTTACAATCACCTTCCCTTCCTCTCCCCACAACAGGAACCCTGTGAGGCCGGTGGGGCTGAGAGAGTTCTGAGAGAACTTGTGACTGACCCAAGGTCACCCAGCTGGCTGCAGGTGGAGGAGTGGGGAACCAAACCCAGCTCTTCAGATTAGAGTCCACCGCTCTTAAATGCTACGCCATGCTGACTCTCTTACAATAAAATATACACAGCAGGTATAAACCGTAGTCCCCAATCCAAGCACGTTTGTGAAACCATTTTGTGCAGCCTCTGCGAAAAGGCCCTCTTGAATAATTCTTTGTCTGTAGCACCAGAAAAGAGCTTTTGTGAGTCACTGCTCACTTCTTTGGATACAGCTAGACTGTGAAACCTTCTGTCTTGGAGAGTAGAGTGATTTCAGATGTCGAATGACAATAGCAGGTGAAAGACAACAGCGGGAGTGGTTGGGTGAGGTGTGCTATGCAGAGGGGTAATGGGCGTGGAGAAATCAACATTGGTAATGAGACAGGAGACCTAAGTCTTGATTCAGTCCAGGAGGATGCATTGTCTTGAGCGTCATTATCAGTTGCAATTCAGCAGTCTCTCTTTCTAATCTGCCTTTGAAATTCTTTTGTAGGAGAACAGCTGCTATTAGGTCAGCGACTGAATGTTCTGGAAGGTTAAAATGTTCCCCCAAGCCTGCTATTGTCATTCACCTGATGTTGTTATTTGGCAACTGAAATCGCTCTTCTCTCCAAGATATAAGGACAGATGGACTCACAGTCTAGTTGTCCCCAAAAGCTCATCCCTTGCCACCAATTTGGTTAGTCTTAAAGGTGTTACTGGACTCTTGCTCTTTTCTATTGAATAATTCAGTTTTGCGCAGTTTGTGGAAAGCCCATAGCGTGAGAGCCTTCCTGTCCTCCTCGGGCAGGCCGTCCATAAAGTGGAATAAGGTACACTGCTCCTGGCTGCAAAGACCTTTCTCTCCTTTTTTCCATCCAGCACAACAAATTCAAACTGCGCATAATCGACGAGAAGGTGACGTCTCCAACAGCCACAGTGTACAGGTGAGAGAAACGGCCGAATACCGTTTTTAGCATCCAGAAGAATCCAGATCCCTCTCTTCCTTCATCTAAGTCATTGCACATATCTGGGCTGTGTGGTCGGGTTGCTGGATTCCCAGTAAAATGTAATTCAGCGTTTGCAGATTACATGTGCCGTTCAGGTAGCCGATGAAGGGCCGGACCCCGTGGGACTTTTCCAGAAAGAGCTGCATGTTCCACCCGCTCTGTCCTGGGAGATTTTGCTGGTTGTGGAACATATCCACAGGATATCTGAAGAAGTGAGCCATGACTCACGAAAGCTCCTCCCCAGCCACAAATGTTGTTAGTCTTTAAGGGGCTACTGGACTCTGGCTCTTGTCTATAACTGGGGGGGG